GAGGTGACTTAACTCCACTGAGCCCAGGCACCTCACCTCTGGGCACATCGTGACTGCCCTCTTACCTGCTGGCACAGCCCAAATGAGGACATGTCCAAAAGGCAAAGCCAGGCCGCAGCCCAGCTAAATGGGTGCTGGGTCATTTATTTCACAGAGGACTGTCCTGCCCCTGACTGTCGCAGACGTCATGAAGGTGGTTGGTATGGATGGCACTGCCCAGGTACCTAAGGGCTCTGGCACATCAAGGGCGCTCAACAAAGACTCAGGGAGCATCCTGTTGGTTATTATTACTACTATTACTGATGCATAACAGTAGCTAATAATTATATAACATTTCCCATTGGTCAGCACTGTTTAAACACATCACTACATATACTAAGTCATTCCATTCTCAGTCCTAAAGGTAAAACTATGCCTCCCATTTTACTGAGGAGGAAATGAAGCTGGGGAGGTCAAGTAACTTGCCCAGGCCTCAAAGCCAGTGAGCAGGAGAGCCAGGGTTCCAGCGCAGCCCGCCCGGGGAACACGCCCCTCTCATCTGCCGACCCGCACACCTCCCACGCACGCAGGCTCTCTGCATCAGAAGCTGCTCCAGCACACGCCTACGGCTCTCTGCAGACCCCGTGAAATCAATGAAACTGGGATTCCTGTCTAAATACCAGCCCCGTCATTACCGTGTCCCCAAGAACAGTGGCCTATAAAGGGATGCACTTCATTAAACGCCGCCTTCCCCTCCTAGAGTCTTCTCATACGTCGATTAATCATTTAACCAGTCCAGGGAGCTGTCTAAATATCAGTGTTTGTAAGCAGACCAAGAAAAACAGCTACCCGGTTCCCAGGCTCGAGGGACTGGGTGGAAATCAAGTTCTACTTCCTAATGGAGCTGAGTTCTCCTTCCTGGTGGACCCATCACCACGGAACGCGAAGACCAGTCATTCCTGTGGTGGCCCTTGCTGGGCACTGTGCTGAGACTACATGTAGAAGCAAAATGTAGACACCAAAACCCCCCTAGTAGGTGGGGGTCTCTAGAATGCAAAGGTCTCTGGAATGGAGAGGAATGCACGGAGTTCAGGGGCGGGGTGGGGAGGCAGCATCTCCCAGCCATTTTTTCACATTGCATGGGCTGTACTCCTCCCCCCAGTTAAGCAAAATCTACCACCAGCTCACAAATAAAGAAGCAGGAGGCTAGGAGAGTGCATTTGAAAAGAGCCGTCTTTACCATTTAAGAGAAGAATTAAATGAAGAAAATCTGCTTGTAATTGGTGGCTTCTTTTTAATTAAGTGAGCCAATTTAGCATAGGAATGCATTTTTTTTTAGTTCTAAATTGCAGCAATCTCTTATGGAGAGAAGCTTGGAACAAGAAATTCTTGGCCGGCCTCTGCCACATGAACCATCCTACCCACTTCCTCCCATCATTCCTCTATTTTCCTGGGGTGGGGTGGGGGAAGGCCTTACCCTTTATATTCTTCTCCAGAAACTTAAATGTGATTCAGCCTGGCTCCCAAGTCCAACAATTTCAAACTCCCTTATCTTTGATCAATGACAGAAATAAAGGCTAAATGTGAATCTAAAACTAGACATAATCTCCTCCCCCACCAAACTGATTTGCAGAAGGAAAAGAGCAATCTGGACAGATCCAACTGCCGTCCAGCAGCCCAAGGAATCTCCTACTTGCAGAAGGACAAGGTCACGGGATGACTGAAGTGGGTCAATGGCCCAGGAGCCAGTTAGACTAATGGGAACTCGGCTCTGAGCGTTTGTTTCTTCAAGAGTGACCTAAGCACTGGTATTTATCATCCTTTCTGGCCGGGATGGGGACAGGGCCAGCCACTTCAGATAGCCCTTGGGTCACAGGCTCAAAGGAGAGATTCCTATTGTTGCACATTTTATAAATGTTTAAGAATCCAAGAGACAGCTGCTGCTGTCAGTAACTCACAGGGAAAACATGCACATGAACGTCCAGTCCTGCTGTGGCTGGAAGTCACTCTTCCCTGGGCTGCAAAGCCCTGCACCAGTGTCCTGAGCATTGGGTGGGGAATGCCGAGAGCCAGGTGAGAGGTGACTGACCCCGAGGCATGGAAGTGTGACAGGACAGTGACTTGCATCTGGCCAATGAGATACAGCTACCAGGATGGGCTGTCACACCGTGATCAGGTTGCAAATGACCACCACTTCTGACTGGCCACCTTGTTCCTTGCTTCTCTCATGAAGCCAATGGCCACATTGGAAAGCCTGGTGGCAAGGGCCTGGGAGCAGCCTCCAGTTAACAGCCGGCAAAGAGCAGGGGTTCCTCACACGGGGGCCAGCAAGGACCGCTGCGCATGACCGCTGCCCCATCGCCTGCCCTCCTGGCCTTGGCCCCGTTACAGTGGCCATGCCAGAGTCCATGCCACTCTTCTGCTCCCAGGGGGCAGGCACAGGACCACCATGCAATACTCAGCACCCAGCACAGCGCCCAGCATGAGGCAGGGTTCGATAAGTGCTTAAACTGACCAAGTATTTCTGTCAAGTTGAGGACTAAGGAGTGAGAAGCCTCTGCCTCCCGTTCCTAGAACAGGGTGATTGTTGTTGTTGGTGGTGGTGGTGGGTTTTTTTAAGGATTCTGGAAGGACAGTGTGGGCCCAAGCCTCCTCCAGAGGCCGACTTGGGGCTGGGGCTGGGAGCAAGTCGGTCAGGTCCTGCTTCTGCTGAGCCTGGACAGCATGGCTGCCCTCCCTGCCCAAGGCTCACCGTGTGCCCACTTCCCCCCTGGCTTCCCCGTGGCCCACCTTCCTTCCTGTTCCCATGACAAGCCCTTGCCCATCCTTGAAAGCCCAGCCTGACCTTGGCTCCGCCAGCTCCATGGCCCTCGCCACTCAGGGTTGCTCCTCTGTCCCCTCCAGCTCCTGTTGAGTCTGCCGGACCACGACAAGCCCTGGCCATGCCTGTCTGCAGGGCCAGCCCCGCCCAGGAGCGCCAATCTCCCCAGGCCAGAGCAGGGATGGCACACACTCAGGCCAGGCCAGACTATCCAGAGAGCTACCCACGCCTGCTGCTCTCACTCTGGGGCCACGAGGCTGGGCACAGTCTGACCGTCCCCAGAAGGAACCAGGAGAAGTGGCAGGAAGACATGTGGTGAGCAGAGGCACAGGCCTGAGAACGTCCCACCCTGTGAACTTGAGCAGGGGGCTGGGCCGGGTGGGGGCCAGAGAAGGAGCGGCTGTGAAAACACCTCAGGACCTGTCCTCTGAAGGCCCATGGTCAGGCAGCCCGACTGCAGGACAGCACCACCGCTTGTCAACCGTTCTGGGCCGGGGAGGCCAGCCTGCCCCCTGAGGAGAGGAGCCCAATTCCTGCCTCGGCAGCGTGGGAACTAGCAGGTGGGACATGGCCATCCCAGATCTGGGGCAGACGTGCTCCCAAGGCCGGGAGTTGTGCAGAGAGTGAACTGCCCCGTGGCACGGCCCAGCAGGCTCCCTCCTGCCCAGTGCCAAGGAATGGACAGCCCAGCTCTCCCCTGACAGCCCACTCAGAAGTGTTCTGAGACTCTGCAGGAGGGATGTGGAGGTCTAGAGGATGTGGACGTCCACTCAGCAGGGTGGACTTTCAAGCAAGCCCTCCAGTAGCACCCACGTGGCCTGCACAGGAAAGAAGTCGGGGCGAGAACACACCAGGATTTAGATGGTAGTTATCTTGGTGGGAGACTATAGGTGTTTTTAATGACAGTTTTTTCTTTAAAGTGCTTCAATGTATTTTCTAGTATTTTCCACAACAAACATGACTCCTGTTAGAATCGGGGCCAGGATGTGAGAACTCAGGTGTGCATGTTTCCAAGGGCCACTGAGCCAGAGCGCCACACACAGGGGCACCTAACAACAGGAATCTCCTCCATCATTCAAGGAGCTGGAGTCCGGGGCCAGGTGTTGGCACAGCTGGCTCCTCCTGGGGGTTCCCAGGGAGAATCAGCCGCGCCTGTCTCCCCGCCTGTCTCCCTGCCCCTGCCTTGCCAACCATCCTTGGCATTCCCTGCCTTGAGGCTACAAAACTCCCACCTCTTACCTGGCATGCACCCTGTGCCTTAGGGAGGGACAGCATCCCACCAACACAGTTCAGTATGACCTCATCTTAAGTACATCTGCAAAGACCTTATTTCCAAATAAGGCCACAGCTGTAAACACTGGGGCTCAGGACTTCAGAATGCCTTTTGGGGAGCCCGACTCAACCCATAACAAAATGTGGTTGGCCCAAAGGAAAACAAGACATGAAGGGCTGTGACCCCATCTCCAAACATCTGGCAGGTTCTCCCCATTTGGAAATAATAGGCCTGGACGATGTGGCTGTAAGGAGAAGAAAAGGGACCACAGTGTAGATGGCCCCAAGATGGACTCACAAAGCCAAAACGCTGAACGGCCTGATGTAGACTGCCATCCCAGGAGGGCAGGCCGGAGGCCCACCTTGTGCCTGATGTGGTGGCATTTAGAGGGAACGCTGGACTAAATACTAAGGTCCAGGCCTCCCAGCAGCAGCCAGGCCATCCCTGGACAGTCTGTCCACTATGGAGTGGGCTCTGCCTCGTCCCAGTGGCCGACCCCTGACTGCAAAGGCAAAGCTGATCTGCTCATCATTTTTCTTCCTTTTGGTGTCAAGGACAGCTGGAGAGCTCACAGTCAGGGCTATCAAGGAAAAGGGCATCAACGGAGTCAGAAGAAGCAAGACCACACAGAGGACACCAATATCTCTGATCCCAAGCTGTGCCCAAGCCCTGACAGCAGAAAGCACCCCATGTCCCCAGGTCAAAGTGTCAGGGGCCAAGGCCCACAGACCAGGGTCAGAACTGCTAAGAAAACAATCTATGGTTTGTTTAAAGGCAGGAGGCTCGCCCTGGGAATAACATTTACATAAGAAATAGCAGTGGCATTGCAAGTTAAGCTTGTTTATTTTTTTTAAGAAGCAAAGTCTTGTTTGTGCTGGGGAAATGCTGCTTTCCCAAGTGCCTTTTCACTTCACCCCAAATGCTCACCTCTCCACGGGGTCCCTGAGCATGACAATCAGTTTGGCTTGTGGCTGAAAGGCGTGAATGAAGTCCTGGGTCAGGAATGGCGGCTCCCCGTCTGTGCTGTTGTCGTAGAAGAAGGTCCAGGCATTGTTATCCCACATGGTGGAGGCGCTGGCCTCCCCTGGAAACAGAAAGCCCCGCAACTGAGCAGCTGCCGGCTGGGGGCTGGGGTGCTGGCTCCCACTGCGAGTGAGCCAGAGGCCCAGCCAGGCTCGCCTGCCTCTCTCTTCAATAGCCATGGCAGATGAGCCGGTCAGCCATGGCCAGCAGATGGACTCCAGGGAGAGGAGGGCCAGCGCTCCCCCCACCACATGGCTCCCGCCCCCACCCCAAGGACCTCTGTCTGGAGACTCAGGCCATCCACAGAACACCGAATGTCCTCCGCCCCCAGCCCATCTTCCAGGGTGAACAGAAATACAACCATCACCAGCACCCAGACCCTGCATTTCACGGTGTTTGGCCGCTGGCAGCGCACAGCTCTATGGCATTTGGAAAGCCCCTGAGAATGTACTAGACAGTTTCCTCTAAGACACATCAGGGAGCAAGGAATAGTCTGGGGACGCCAACCCTCTACAGGGAGTTGGGCACAGCTCGTCTGTCTTCCTGACTCCCCAGTGGCTGGTCGCGGGTACACTCTAGGACCCAGCAAGAGGAAGACCGCCAGAACCTCAGGGGCCTCAGCCTCGCATCTGTCTCTAAAAGACCATCTGTCCCTGCCCACCCCCTCCCCTGTCTGCACACAGCTGGCACTCACTCAGTGCTGGCTGGTGAACAGACCCCAGCCCGGTTATCACCGTCCACGTGACCAAAGGATGAAAGAGCTGAACGCCCCAGAGAACAGAGGTAAGGCCAAAGCAAGCACTGGACAAGGCTCCCGCCGACACTGAGCCAATCCCGCTTTCTGGTTTGCTTTTTCGTGTTTGTTAGGCCTGTCTTCGGAGATTGAGAAAGAAAGGCAATCAACGCTTCTACGCTCGCTTTCCTGAACGGTGCAGAGGCTTCTCTGACAACCTCCAAATCACCTCCTCGGGGAAATCCCAGTCAAGGCACATGGTCTCGGTTCTATTCTAGCCTTTCCCCTCCCTCTCTGGTTTTAAAGTCACAACACCCTCGGATACAGAAAAGACCAGTCCATCGGGAGGCCTCTGAGCATCTACTCACAATGAAAAAGAGAACGTAAAAGACAAGTGCAGCATCTGAATCTAGACTGGCACCAGTTATGTCAGCTCTCCAAGGGAACTGGTCCAGAGCCACAGAGGCATGTGTCCCTTGTGTCCCTCTGTCTGTCTGCCATCTGTCCGTCATCCATCCCTCACCCACCTGGGAACCATCATTTGATGTCTAATATGCACCCTGCTTCGTGTCAGGTGCTGGGACAGATGAGGGAAATGAGACAGGCATGGACCTCCCCTCTTGGCCCTCGTAGTCTAGGGAGACAATTCAAGAAGCCATCAGTATCACTTGAGGGTGCTAAGAAGAGTTAGGGCCAATGCCCCACAAACAGTCAGGGGCCTTCCAACATGCCAAAGCCCCCACCCCATGGAATCTATCCACCTGGGTCCTGAGCCCTGTGTGCCTCTCACTGCAGAGGAAAGAACCCCTCTGACCCGTAGCCATGGTGATGAGACCGTCCATCTCTGCTGAGGACCTAACAGGGGAGAAGGGCTAAGGCAGAACTGAATCCTGCATCAGAGTTGGGCAAAGCCTAGAACTGGCCTGGCCCCAACAATCCCATCTTACAGATGTGTCTACTGAGCCCAGGACAGAGGCCTGACTCTTCATGTGGCACAGAGTGGTGTCACGGGTGGTGACAGGCAGGACCAGATGTCCACTCTTCCTCTGCCTCTGCACCTGCTCATCATGCCACAGGCTGCCACGAAACCCACCCAACTCTGCTTGAAGTAAATATCAGTGTGGTACTTTTATTTCTTCTTCTTTCTTTCTTTTTTTTTAATCTGGCAATAACTAAAATTAGGAAACCAAACAAAGGCTTTCCTTTTCATTCATTATCTAAGTCTTTGTTTCCTGCCCCTGTGTGAATGTTTGTAGCTCTTTCATAGAACCTGAGACTTCTCCCAGAAGCACATGTCATATGCATTATGGCAAAATATTAATTAGACTTACCGTTTGGGGTGTTCGCCCCTGATTTTGCATTCATAAATAAGTAACGGCCAATTCATACTGCAGGTGGTGTGGGGGGAGGTGGGGGTGGGTAACAATCTCACTGGCTCCCAGTGACTTATTTCTGAGTTTGAAAAAAAATCGATCCTTCAGGTTTGGGGCACATATGCCTGCTCTCTGGACATGGGCATGCAGGGAGGAGTTCTCATTGAGCGGGTGATCTGAATTCATCCTGCTCATTCAGAGGCTCATTTAACCTGGGGAATCAAAATATAATAGATCTAGGAAGACAAAAAATTAGATCACTGCCTCAAGTAACCAGCTTGAGCAATATGTAAGATTAAATGTCCATCTTTCAGAATACATCAGTCTGCCTCATCCAGTTAGATATGTTAGAAAAATAAGTCCAGAGATAGAATGCGACCTGATGACCAGAGTTAATGACTTGTTTGGGATACTGGAAATTTGCCAAAAAAAAAACTAGGTGCTCTTACAATAAAAAACATACAGGCAACTATTCAAGGAGACAAACATGCTAATTTGCTGGCTATGGTGATCATATCAAAATATCATATATACACCTAAATATATGCAATAATTCTTAGCATAAACATATTGGTTTTTAATAAGACACACTTGCATTTAAAAAAAAAAAAGAAAAGAAAGAATTAATCAAACAACCTCATTTTGAATGCAAAGGGCCCAACTGTAAAAGACCAAGCAGGGTCTTTTAATCAGCAATTAGTTCAAAGATGCTACACAGAGTTCTGTCCATGTCAGGGAATTCATCCTCCAGCCTCATGCAGCCCCAGTGACCCAGTTATCAAAGCCCAGGTATTAAATCAATGACTAATTGGTTACATTTTATTTTGGGGGGGGGAGGGGGTTCCAGGGATTGACCTTAGGAACACTCAACCACTGAGCCACATCCCCAGCCCTATTTTGTATTTTACTTAGAGACAGGGTCTCACCGAGTTGCTTAGCACCTCACCGTTGCTGAGGCTGGCTTTGAACTTGTCATCATCCTGCCTCAGCCTCCCAAGCTGCTGGGATTACAGGCAGGCATGACTCTGCCTGGCTAAATGGTTGCATTTATGATCCCCCAAACTTAAATCAGTAGATTATACAAGAATCCATGTCACATACACCTACTTAATTTAAGTAAAAACAGACATGGAAACTTAAAAAAAAAAAATGTCATTTCAGCCATATTGAGTCTGCTTGGAGTTACAAAGTGGACTGAGCTTTTCTGCTTTGTAGTGATGTTTCAAATGAGGTGAACATTTTACACAGGCATAAGAGTGATAGCCCGTGGGGAGCTGGAGGCTCAATGGTCACCTGCAGCCATTGGCAAGGGCTCTGCAGGTGAGGCAGAGCTGAGCCAGGACCTCAGAGAAGTCCCCCCAACCCCGCCCAGCCCTCGGGGCCACGCAGACACCGTACCAATAATGATTTTGTTCATCTCGCTCGGCTCCCTTGCTGAGCCGGCCTGCAGGCCCTGATGGATCTGGTGTGCGGCCAAATCAAAGAGGTCCAGGTAATCTTCCACAGGGTAGCGGTCTCGCAGCCCATCTCGGAGGCGGACAATTCCTACAGGAGCCAAGAAGCCAAAGTTACTCAGGACAAACTGTCACTGCTAGGATGGTGGCTTCCTGGAGAATGACCTTAGACGGGATAAAGGCCCCCAGGGCCCAACTGCAGCAGCAAAAGGCTCAGTCCAGGTACGCATCAGAGGGGGACCTGGGTGGAGGGGGGGCTCAGCCAACTGGCTGCCCGGTTCCAAGGCACACATCCTTCATGGGGTGGAAGGCACCAAAGGATGGGGACCCACTGAAGAGCTACAATGTGTCTAGATGGTGGGCCAGAGTTCGGGACTGGCTGATGTGTGTACCAGCTGAGATCCTAACGTGTCCTGGCAGCTCCAACACCCAGGACACACACAGGGTAGCCAGTCAGGAGGTGACACCCTGTCCTCTTCCTTTTGGTCACCTACGTGTTCCAGTAGTGTGCCATCGGTCCAAATGTCAAGAGCCATTGATCTTCCCCTGGGTGGACACAGGTTCTGGGATCAGCCAACTTGGCCCTTGCTTTAAAAATGGGAAATTTCACTTGTGAACATTTAAAACACACCCCCAGACACCACAGCCGCCCGGGTTAGCATAAGTGGAAAGAGATGGGTCAAAACAACATGAGCTTCAAGGTGACCAAGCAGCACCAGCGTCCCAGGCATACCCTGTCCTTGCCTCTCCTGCCAGCGGCAAGCTGGTTTGCATTAAGGGGAACAGTGGCCCAGAGGGGAGTGTACCCAACAGCGGGGCGTGGGCTCAGCATGGTGAAGCCTTGGCTGCCACGCAGCACTGCGAAACCACAAAAGAAACACACCTTCACCCGCCCCAGGCTGACAGCCAAAGGGTGAGACCAAACATGGGTCAGGAAGCACTCAGAAGCTGGTCTAAGGAAGACTCTTGAGGTTCTCTCTAGGCAGCCTGGTCCTCATGCAGAGCACGCCCTGGGGCCTCCCAGACTCTGGCAGACAATGGGCCGGGTATCGCCCCTTAGCTCCAGTGACCAAACGTCTCCTGGCAGAAGGGAAAGGTCACCAAGAGGAAAGAGTGACCGCAGGGCCACAGGGTGCTTGGGGCTGGGTCCACAGTCAGCCCTGAGGCAAAGCAGGTAGAAAGCAGGGTCTCAGTTGTCTCAGTGGCACTTGATACTTGTGCGGCAGTCAGGGCAGGCCAGAGGAGCTGAGCCCAGGGCAGCTGCGTCTCCTCCACGTGTGGGGGCTCCAGGAAGCAGCCCAGAGCAGGTGCTGGCTACCACTGCCCAGAGGTCTGCTAGTCCCTGGCCCGGGCCCAGGCCCTCCCTGCTCAGTGCAGGGGTCACCTGCCAGGACTCTTCAGGTTGGGAAGAGCTACCCGATCTGCACTGTTCCCTTGCCCTACCCTCAGCTGGCACGTGGCTGGGGACGGGTTCCAGCCCTTGGTGTGGTGATGTTGGGTGACGGGGCCCTTCCGAGGTGCACAGGTCAGGGAGGCCCTTCCTGGAAGGGATTAGCGTGGGTCTCTCATGAGAGAGTGTTCTTTAGGAAGCCAGGCCATCCCATCGCTTGGCCTCTGCGGCACATGGCCAGTTCCCTTCTATTTCCAAGCTATGTCATCTGCAGCCAAGGGGCTCTCCTCAGCAGACCAGCGCCATGCTGTGTGGACCCTTCAACCCTTAGAATCCTGAGCCAAATAAATCTCTTTCCCTGTAAGCGACTCAGCCTCTGGTATTTTGCTACAGTAACACTAAACTGACTGAGGCAACTGTCTAATAAATGGCCCACCTCCTCAACAGCCGCGCCCTGCCCACTTCAGGGAAGGAATGAACCAGAGGGCGGCTGGAAGGAGCCACCAAACGCACCAAAGCGCTTCCGGGTCCACCAGTGCGGCTCCTTGATGGCCGAGAACTTCACCTCCGGGTGCAGCCGCAGGCGGTCGTAGAGGTCAGTGGTCCCGCACTTGGGCTGCCCGATGATGTAGAAGTGCGGCAGGCAGCGCAGGCGGAAGTGCTTGCCGTGCGCATGCGACAGGTGGCCCCAGAAAGCCTTGCGCAGCGCATCGAAAGTGGAGCGGAAGCGCTTGGAGTAGAGCACGTAGGAGTTGGTCAGGTAGGGGTCAGTGGTGTTCCTCCCCGAGAACTCCTCGTACCAGCAGGGGCTCTTGCTGTTGGGCAGGAACTTAGAGGGGATGACTGAGAACATCTGCAATGAGAAGGAGAAAAGGGAGAGCGGCCCCCAGGGAGGAAGAGTTAGCAGAAAGATTGCCACCACCATGCCATCACGCCCCAATCCCCGTGTGTGCTCCAATCTGAACTGTGTTTGACAGCGATTAACAGCTAAACTTGGTAGGCAGCCAATGACTATGTTTTCTTTTTCCCAAAATAAAAACCAAAAAAAAAAAAAAAGGAGAGAAAAGAAGATTAAATGAAGATAAATGAAGATAAAGATTTAGTTAAAATCCATCCTATCATGATGTATCTCTCCCACACACATAGCAATCTAAATTAAATAGTTGGGATCTTTCTTGTTGGTCGTACATTTAAATAGCATCAAAACATCCATAAGCATAGAATTATTGAAAGTGAAACTGAGCCTAACTTTAAAATTCCAAATGATGGCCACCTACAAAACCAACTGTGGCCACCCCGGCTCGGTTTCAAGCAAGAAGTCCTAGAACACAATCATGAGGGGGGCGGTCCTTAAATATTTCTAGCTGAGCTGTTCAGGACTTCAAACCCCCCTTCCTGATGTTCCAGACGTGAGCAGACAGTGCGCCCTGATCGGCAGCCTGTCAACTCATCCCCACTATCCTCAAGAAATGTTCAGACATTTTCCTTCTACGTTCTCCAAGATGGGGCTGGAAGAGGAAGCAACCCTCTTTTAAAGTCCACCAGTGGAGGTCAGCGAGAGGCTACTCACATGCAGCTCCTGCCTCCTGAGGTCTTGCAGGTCCGGGAGCTGCCTGGTGGTGAACTCGATCCTGGCGGTGATGCTGCTGATGACCAGCTGGATGCTGGGATAGTCCTTGACGTAGGACACGTTATTTACAGGGGGCTGGTGGTGATGCTCCTTCAGGTCGCTTGGGTTTTCACCGTCCAGCAAGCTGGGGTTGCTGGGGAAGCCCCCATAGTGGAAAGGAGACGAGATGAGAAGCTCCTGGTGAGCCCCAGAAAGGATGTAGGAAGCCATCACCAAGGTCATTATGACCAGTCCAAACACCAGGCTGCATCGCTTCCCCTTCTTAAAGCGCAGAAACCCGCCCCAGGCCTCGTTCCCTTCAGTCCTCACTTCGAGAACAGCCAGCAAGTTCATCTGCTGACTGTCCACGCGAAGCAGGATCTTGTTTTCTCCTTTGCATGCGGGGCACGCCTGGTGACTCTGGTGGGGGCCCCCTCGGCAGCTGACCTGCTGTTTGTGTGCGTCGTCGGCTAACAGCTGTAGGCAGCGGTTGATGCAGGGCCTCATGGTAGTGCCCTTGGACTGAGGCTTAGCCAGCCATGGGTGAGCCCCAGGGAGTACGGGAAGCCTTACGGATGTCCTGCGATTACATCAGATGGTGGGAAGGCAGCAGAGACAGACGGAGACACGGCAGGAACCAACGGGGGAGGAGGGGGAAGCACATGCTTTGGCTTGACTCTACAAGGCAGCAAGGGGAAGTGACCCCAATGGTCATGTTCTACAGGAGCCACGGCATCAGGAAGGCGGGGAGCGCTTCTGCCTGTCCCTCAGGTTTTCCCCATCACACCACGAGCAGTATCGCTGGGGAGTGTGGGGTCACGCCGCACATCAGGAGCGCTCATGATCTTCTCCTGCAGCCACGGACTGGCGCGCCATCCGCAGAGTTGCCCATGAGGGTTTCCACGGTCACATCCTGTGTTCCTTTGGGATGTTTCCTCTTCGTGGGGAGAAAGCTCTTAAAAATGTCCAATTACCTAAATATAAAGAAAGAAGACTGACTGGGTTACATGGTAAGAGCAAGAGCCCGGGACGCTCTTCCAGCCAGGAATAGCTGTACGTTTCTCTCTTCCTCTTCTCAATTCCAGCCAAGCCTGCTTGGTCTCAACCAAGTCGCAGAATCATACAGGAGAGAGGGAGAGGTTTCGAGTCCCCGCACTTGGCTTTGGAATTCAATCTCTGCCAACAACTGTGGCCCAGCCACCAACACCAGCAGCAGCACGTGGGACGCCTGGTTCTGGGCTGTCCCCCACCCTCCAGTGTCTCTGCCTTCCTACTTCGACTAAGTTAAGGCGTTTCCACCCCAGGGCTCTGGACTATGAACTGGAGGGACAAATTCAGATATTAGTGCCTCCAAGTCAGTGGAAAAAGCTGAAGAACAATCAGGAGAACCGTTAGGATAGGAACACAGAGAAATAGAGCCTTTCCCTCCCAACAGTATCCACGGTCTTTCGCTGGAGCTAACCTTTACTATCAGCTTCAGAAGCAAAAGTTAATGAAAATTTAAAACAATGAAATGATTCTCTCCTTCAGCGGAGTGTATCATATAAAAAACCATTTGGCTTTAAGTTATTAAGCAATTAAGTCCAACGTACAGTGTTCCCCTGAGCAGCGAAACACTTCAGGTCCTGAAATAATTTTCCACTTCCGTCATCCTAGGGAAGACATGATTCTTAAAGATCCATTAACACAGTCCTGTGGTTGTAAAATGTATTGTTGCCCAAAGACATTTCTTTGTAGATGTCTTAAAAGGAGCACCGAGCGAGCAAAACAAAGAGGCCTACTTGGTTTCTCACCATGGTAGATCCCCTTACTGGCTGCGTGGCCTTGAGCGAGACATCCCACCTCTCGGAGTCTTGGCCACTCTCTTATAAGTTTGTAACAAGTACTGAATTAGCTATTATATGTTTGCATAAAGTCTAACACATATTTAGCATAACATAAAAGGTATGTAACATTGATAACCATATCATCAATGATGATGATAACTATTATGATTTAAAATTGTGATGAACACCAAGGATATTTGAAATGCAATCCCAAAAGGAAGACCCTCTGCCACATGATCTTTCCTTAGTGATTGACAATCCTCTCCTCACACACCCCTCAAACAATCCTGTCCCCAGAGGCGGCATCAATCTTCCCTTCATTAGAGTCTCCTTGTCCTGGCTAGAGGTCGGACCAATCAGAACTTTCCAGAAGAAACCTTCCCTGTGTTCTGCGTGCCTGTGTTCTGCGTGCCATCAGTAAGTATTCACGCTCCCATTATTCGGAGAAAAGGTGAAATGGACAAAATGACATGGGATTCGTAAAGCGGGGCTTTACTATGCTAATAATGTCTGTGTCACAAGGAAGAGAATACACAAAATTTGCAAAACAGAATTAACCAAGGAATTTTCATAAAGTCTCAAGGAACCAGCATGAGAAGAGCTGGTGAGCACGGGCTGAGAGGCTGGGGCAGGCGCGTGGGCCGTGAGGTTGCACAGAGGGAAGGTGGGAGGAGCTGCTCCCAGAGCCAGGCCAGAAGGCCCGGGCTCTGGCCTCTTGTGTCCCCCAGGGCAGCTGGAGGGCATGTGGGGAGCCTCAAGCCCAGACCTCTGCTTGAGCTGGCTTAATCACCCCTGACCCATTACTTGGTACAAACAATTCTTCCAAACCAAAGAAACAAAAGGGCAAGATCCCCTACTCGGAAAGTCCATCACTAAAGCCAAGAAAACATTTTCTCACATGCCGAAGTCCAGGCCACAAGTGGGGTCAAAATGAGACTCAACCAGGAGCTCCGCGGGAGGGAGTCTGCACCCTGCAGCCTCTCTCTGCAGAAGGCCTAATTAGATTCTTTTTTAAACAAACAAACAAACATGGGCTTTGAAGCCTCAGAACAGGAATGTACATAATCTGGACCCCAAAGAATGGGCAAAACATTCTAACCAAGAGCAAAAGTATCTTATTCCAAGCAACATAAATAAACTTGGGAAGACAGGCAGGCAGATGAGGGACGAGGCCTGCTGTCTACTGGGCAGCTGCACCTTGCAGCCAGCGGAGCTCCTGCAAGGCTGGCCTCTGACCACAGAGAACGGCCACAACTGGAGGTGTGTGGAAGCCCTGGGAAAACACTCAGATACAATGTACTCTCTGCTCCTGTCATTCATTCATTCATTCATCCCTTCACTCCCTCCTGGAAAAGGTCCTTCTTCAGGCATGCTCAGGGGTGGGGCCTGAAGCCACTGTAGGATGCGGGTGTGTATACATAGAAATACACACTTGGCCTCCTCCCAGCCACAGTTTCTGAATCCTTGGAGTGCTGAGCGTCCAGGAAGCTGGAAGCATGGTTTGCCACTCACCAGCCTCTTCCAACAACACATGAACTTATGCTAATGAGGTGACCCTCAGTGAACATCTAGGTGTCTTCAGGGGAGGGACTGGTCACCAGAAAGACAAGCCTTGGTTAGAAGCTTGGAACTTTCGGCCCAGATCCCCAGGTTCCTGGTGGGAACCTGGGGATTGAGGTCATAGCAGCAGCCAGTGAGGTGATCGTCAACTAATGCTACGATAATGGGACCTCCACAGAAGCCCCTAAAGGACAGGGAGCCACGGGGTTGATCGGGGTCATGGACATGCAGAGGGACAGCAAGGAACCACCTCCTGTGTTGTGAGACAGTCCTCCTGGGCACGCCCTGGTATCTGTCCCACTGTCAGCTCCTGAGCTGCCACCTCTGTGATACACTGTGCTTGGCGGGAGGAGCCCTTTCCTGAGGACCCTCAGTCACTCAGGGGAGTTACAAATCCACACAGGCTGCTGTGGGAATCCCCCACCTTTCTGGCCATTTGGACATAAACATGTGCCCTGGGGACCCAGTACTCCTGGCTGGTGCCCAAAGTGGGGCGCACTTGAGCCCATGAACTCCAGGAAGTCGTGACCTCCAGCTGCAGTCAGGAGGTACATAATTTGATGGTGTTGGAAACACCCCTGGGTGTCCTCTTTGAGGATAAAAAAAAAATCTTAGATTTTACCAGAACACACAGCCACTGTGTAGCACATAAAATATGCCTCCGTGCAGGTGGGTGAACTCCCATCTCACAGCCAGGCCAGTACCTGGCTGGTGCCCGTGGGAGCGAGCGAGAGCCCTGAGTTCAGGCTTCCAGACAAGCCCTCCCGTGAGTGAGCTGGTGCAGAGGTGGCCGAGAGGGGCGCTTTTCCCTGGCTGAGCTCTGTCCCACCTGGGACACGTATAAAGAAGGTGCGTGTGAGGTAGCCTCGGGCACGATACAGGCTGTGAGGACAGACAGGAGGAACCCAGGAAGTCCACAGACCGGGTTCTCACTGCACCCTGCCTGGGCTAGCCGATTCCATGCCCAGGGCACTGTCCCCCGCACTGCAGGACATTGGACAGCATCCCTGACCTCTACTTATAGATGCCAGGAGCACCCCTCCCCTTAGATGTGACAACCAGAAACGTCTTCAGACGTGGTCACATGTCCCTTGGAGGGCATAGTCAACCCAGGCAAGAATTGCCACTGGAGGGGAAGGAATCCAAACACAGGGTGACCAGAGAACTAACATCAGGGGGGACACCCAAGCTAAAGCCTGAATGACAAGAAGGAGCCAGTCCCAGGGAGACCAGAGGAGGCGGAGCCTATGGAGAGAAGCCGGGGAGTCCAGGCCCCTGGGTACTCCTGGAGGGCAGACCTTTAGGGGCATGGGCTGGTGGGGCACAGGGACCCGATGGGTGAGGAGGCAGGGGCCAGAGCTCGGCTGCCCTGAGGGCCAGAATGTGGAAGGGAGGCACACTACATGTTCTTTCAAAGCAATCTGTACAATACGTGTAGCCATTTAATAACTCAGTAAAGAAAAATTAAATCATCAAATTACCACGACTATGCAGGAAGGAAAGCAGATTGCAATCATGATCCATAACTGGCCTCTTCCACATGCCATGGATTATCCCACGGGCCATTGTTCAGAAGCCTGGCACTCAAGGTGTTCTTCCTTCAAAAGTACGCAGTGCGTACCCCTGCACGCCACCTGTCTAGAATGTCCACGTTGGTGCCAGCGGACCCACAGTACACAGGGCACTCGGCATTCCCATGCCCACATCAGCCCCCATCCTCAGGTGTGCATTTCAGCTCGATGGCTGCCCAGCTGGGCTCCATTCTGTGCCCTATGGGTGCAGGCCCCTGCTGCAGGAGCCCGGCGCCACTGTGAGATCAGATAGCTACTCCCCAAATAGAAAGCCTCCAATTACTCACCTCTGCTTGGGTGCCCCTGTTAACCTGTGCACCCCAGGCATCATTAGCAAGCCATTTATAACAAACTTGTAATTGAGAGACCCAGAAATACCACTTCAGATGAAGTAATTGAATGCCCCCTCAGTGGAAGATCGATAAAGGGCGTCCAATTTCACCCCAGGAAAAACTTATTAAATTATTGTAGCTATAAGCTGATAAAGCAGAAGAAAGGTATATGAAACTTCAAAGGAAATCTGGACAGATTTAAATAAATAGTTTCATTTAGGTAGAACATTTAAATCCGCCCTCCGGGGAAAAGGAACAAAATAGCTAATTATATTGTTTTACTTTTATATTTTAAGGGGGAAAATCCGATGATTCTTAATTAACCTTTACTAAAACACAAAGCCTCCTTCAGATTGGGACGTCTGGATGCTGGCGTCTCTCTTTAGGCTATATATATGGAAACACATTTTTCTTTCAAGGAATATTAATCAAAAAGTAGAGCAAGAAATATTTTTTTACATTTAGCTCGAAGATATCAGAAGGTTGTTGCTGAGACCCAGAAGAAAGCTAACAAAACCAAGGTTCTGCACAAGAATCTCAGCAGTTTCAATCATACACCTGGAGTTTGACAATTTTGAGCATATCATGGTCATTAATCAGAACAAAGCCACACTCCCTGATTGACACTCACCAGCCTCTGCATGGTGGAAAGGACACAGAAATCACCCAGATCTGAATTCCAAAC